TATATATATATATTTAAAACCATTATCTCTAAACCACTGAGATGATTGTGTGGGAAAATCCCAGCAGATCAGCAGGAGGCCCATCTCGTACCAATGACCATGCAACATTCAAAGTCACTTAAATCACCTTTCTTCCTGATTGTGATGCTTGGTCTGGACTTCAGCAGGTTGCCATCTCCATACCTAAATGCCTCAAGTTGGTGCAGCGGCTGGCTGATAAGATTTTTGTGTCAACAAGCAGTTCAACAGGTGTACCAAACAAAGTGTATATCCATGCAGTTTCACTATTAATCAACACTGTTAGCTAACAACTTCACTGCTAGCTACTTTCACCTTTCTATTTCAAGTAATAAATATACTGTTATCAAAAATTGTGTTCATTAAAACTTGTATTTCAACTGTTACTCTGTTTGCTAACAATTCAGCTGCTAATATTTAGCTGCATATATTAAGGTAGACATTTTTGTTTTAGATATGTTTTACTCATAATTTTAGCTAGGTTTCACAGTCTTTTTCAGTTGTTTAGCAAGCTATTTCATTAGCTTGTACATACAACCTGCCAGCAACTATTTACCTATACTTTTAGAAGCTAACAATGTTGTCAGTTAGCTGTACTTTTGGCTAGCTATTCAGATGACCGATTTACTCTTTTATATTTTCTACTGCTTATTGATTAATTTATAATTAACAGGTAATTCACTACTCAAATCTTTAAATAAATTATAGTTTTTAAAAAAATATGATTTCAGAAAAAATCTTTAGACCTACTTCCTGCATACACCAGAAGTACTATCTGGGATCAGAGAAAAAAACACTGGTCTTGCAGTAGTCATCATTATTTATTACCAGAGCTCAATCACAGCTTGTTTTAAAACAGAGTAAAATGAACCCTTCAGTACATATAAAACATTGCATTACTCTAACAATCTTTACAAACACTAGCGCACCTCAGCGTCCACTTAAATGCAACTTTCTCAAGGCTATAACCTGCGTGTTTACAGTCTTTTCTCTTTTGTCCACAACTTTCCTTCTTTTTGAACAACAAATTAAGAGTTTATGTCCCTAATATGAATTGGACTCCACTTACATATTGCAACTCAAGGGTTCTGATAAACTCTCATAGTTTCAAACTCCAGTGGCCCATTTATTCTGTTATAAACATGTAGTCTCTAGGCTGAAGCTGGGAAAAAAACCTTATGAACAGACAAAGTTATATTACTTTTCCATATGCTGAGTATTTATTCCCACAACTAGCAAATTATTTTATCTAAAATAGGAGTGCCCATTTTAGAAGATAAAAAGGGGGCTTAAACTACTGAAATCTTTCTGCTGCTTGCACTTAAAATTAACTTATAACTGTTCGAGGTTTCTGAGACACCTAAAAGGATCTACTTACAGCCATTTCTGTCATTCATGGGCTGTGCCCAGTCTTGATTAAGAGAAAGTTCATTTTCATCCAAAACACATCAGAACTTTTGTCTTCTTTCCATCCACAGCCAGAGTCACATCTGATCTGAGGTATCTTCACCAATTAGGCTTAGCTTGGTTGGTCAGTGTGTGAGCTATGCTTGCATATTGTGTGTGTGATGTATGGGTGACACAAGTAGTTCTCCTGCTGTGATATCACCTTTTTTCAACAAACCACCTTTGGGTGGCAGAACCTTTGTACCTTGAGTCTCATTCCACCTCCATTTCTCTGGTGTTACAAGAGACCTGCAAAAACATAAAAAGGTCAGACTGTTGTGAAGTGAAAATGTCAATTTTGGATAAACTGCTACATGAAAGATAACTTCTATTTTCCGTTAGTTTGACCATTAATTTCATGATTTATTAACATATTCATGAAATTCAAACATGAAATAAAGAAGCCTATAAAAAATTTTTTATGTTCATGTACAGCCTCTGAAGCCAAAACCCAGTGAATCAGCACTTTGGTAAGAAAATGTATGAATGAGAGATTCAACAGGTGGCGACAGATAGGACTTCAGCAGGTACCATGTTACTTTGTCTCTGGTGTTTAAGTGCTAGTTTATATGAAGTATTCTGGAGTTTATTTCTACCATCTGGTGGCAGAAAAGTCTATAAAGCTGCCTCTTATAGGGATTGGAAATCAAACAGCAAATGTCATATTAAATACTCACAGAGACATTATTGAAACCAGCTGCCATCTGGGTTTTGGGTCTGCGGAACTGTAACATGGTCCTGCTGAAGTGAACTCTAATTAATTATTAGTGATTAATTAAGACACATTAAGGTAAAAATCAGCAGTTTTGATCATATGGGCAATGCTTTTGTCCTTTTGCTTTCTGACAAGTGTTCTTAAGGGTCTGAATGTCAGATTTACTCACTGTGAGGTCTGTGTCATAAGACTCATTAGTGAAACCAGCAACAAATGAGGAAGGTGATGTCTGTCGTGTTCGCAGGTAGAAAACCAGCAGGCCGACCAACGTGCCGATGAGCAGAAGGACCACAATCACAGACGCCGCGATCCCTCCTGCATTGTTTCGGTTTGGGGAGGCTGCAGCACAGATGGGAAACATTTAGTATTTGTCTCATTAATGTAGTGAAGCCAAACTTTACATTGTAGTTAGAAATTCAGTCAAATAGTTGAATGGTTAAAAAAAAGTGCTGAAAAACTGAATATTATTAAAAGCATATTAGTTCTAAATTCACTTTGTCAGTTAGGAAATTTAATTTTATTTAAAAAAACCCATCTTAGCAGTGACTGCTGCTTTTTAAATTTCTCAGCACTGAATCTGAGCATGCACATTGTGCAGAAACATTAAAAACCTCTAATACAGTCTGCAATAGTTTGAATAGAAATCTGGGAGTTCTGCTCATACGTTTTATTGGATCTGTGACTTTGTTAGCACAGTTGATCCCGATGGTGTATTCGATGTCATCCAGAGCTACCACACCTGCTGTACCTTTGACGCCTTCAAAAACAATCTGTTTACAGGAAAAGTAAGATGACAGCAGAGATTGCAGTAGGTCGTACATGCTTACATACAACAGCAAGTCACTAAGTGTATTCAGCCATTTGTTATAAATGTGAGCCTGACCTGGTATTTCTCAGTAGATGTGATGTCGATGTCAAAACGTTTCCACAGTCCAACAAGTTCGGTCTCAGCCAGCGGGTTGAAACGACCTTCGGAGAGTCTCCATACTTTTAGCTGGCAGTCCGCTGAAGTCATTCATAAAAAAGGTTAAAAATATTTACAGGTAAATGCATTCAAAACTGACATAAATTGAATATGTTTTTTCTTTCTTACACGACTGGCTTTTATAGAGCCAGAACTTCAGGCAGGTGCCCTTAGTAGGGGGCAGGTGAGGGCTCAGCAGTAGAGCGTTTTGACTCACTTCTGTCCGATTGCTGCTTGGAAAGAACAGGAAGTGACCTTGCAGAAAAGAAAAGAAGGGTGTTTTGAAAAAGAAGATAAGAAGTGTGACTTTGCAGCATCCGCCAGCTGTCTAGTTGTTTGTTCTCTCTGGTTTTACCTTTTTCTGTGCCCAAAGTGTGGTCGTCAAGTGGGATTGGGTAGTGACGTTCCATCTCTGCACTCGTCAGCTCCCAGTCCAGTTTGTCTATGGTCATGTTCTGAGTGTTGCTCCAGCTGCACATGCCTCTCTCCATACTACACTTGGAACCTGGGGAATCTAACAAAATAAATATTACGCTATAATTGTGCAATATTGAGTAGGATAAAATATTATAGAGGAGGTAGTCATGTACTCGGAGTAGTTTTTGAAAACTAATATAAGGCCTTTATTTTAGTGGGTTAAAGACATAAAAATACACCAGTGCAAATTGGCTTACACCTTCTCTAGGTGGTACTGTAGGCAATTGTGGTTTCACTCACCACAGGAGTGCAACACTAAGTGCATTGTTTTCTTTGGCCTGTGGCCAGTGGTGAGTAAAAGACTTCTCTAGCCTTTAAGAGCATCATCCAGCCTCCAACTTAACAAAAACCTGTTCTAACTCAGCATAGTGTAACCACAGAGTAGTACAGACACACTGAAGCCACAATTTCAAATATACAGCACCAAATGGAAGACAAACAAAAATATGTCTAAAGAATGTAATAGTCATTTTTACTGTAGTCTTAAAGTCTTAGCGGGATCCTTGGTTAAAGCCCATGAGGAAAAGTATCTAGATACATAGAGCTGCGTGCTGCTTTTACTGCAGTCTTAAAATCTGTAGTGATTTCAATCTTGATGAGGCATGTCAGTACAAACCTTGATTTTCACAGGGATAATGTGAAAGAAAGATGTCATCGATTGCAATGCAAGTGTCTTTCCCTCCAGCTCCGACAACCTCAAATTCCAACTGCAGAAGAAAATTACCACAAAATAAGCTTTGAACAGCGGGCACAAAGTCCTTAGATCAAAAGCTACTGTGCAAAAGTCTTGAGGCACCACTCATTTCTTTGTTTTTTGCTATGAAAACCTGAAGTAGTTGCATGAAGATTCACTGTACAACACAAAAACACAATTTGCAGAATTCTAATTGAAAGCCATTATTTGATATGACCACCTTTATTCTTCCACACAGACCCTCAGTAATCTCTTTAAGTAGTTTTCAGGGATAGTTCTCCAGGCATTTTGAAGGAAATTAAAAGTTATTTCTTGGATTTCTTGGATCTGCCTTTGTTTTTCTCCAAATTTTCTGTCAAAATGATCCCACATTGCTTCAGAAATGCTGAGGTCCTGGTTTTAGGGAGGTTGAACCATGATTGATAGTGTTCCACTGTGTGTTTTTCTGTCCAGATTGTCATTGTCACGGGTCTGTGACCCATCGTTTCTGTGTTTGGACTTTTGATTTTGGTTTATTTAATATTCTGAGGTTAAGATTCTGTTCCTTGTTTTGGTTATTATAGTTGTTAGCTTTCTGTTTAACATTTGTATTCTTAGGTCACCTTAGTTTTCTTATCTAGTCTTTACATTTCTGTTGTCAAGCCTCCCCTCTGTTCCATGCCCCATGTATAGTCATAATTCTGTAGTTATATATTTTCAATGTGTCTCTTGCTCTCTCTCTGTTTAGTCAGTCACGTCTCAGTGTTTGTTCCCCTGTCTTGCCAGTTAGATTATAATCCAGCCGTGTTCCCCAGGTGTTTCCTCTCTGCCCTGATTCCTTCATGTATACATATTGTCTGTGTCTTTTTGTGCTCCTTGTGATGATCTCCCTCTTGCTGTTTGCCCCGTTTGTTCAGTGCCTGCAGTGTATGTTTCTAGGAGAACCGGTCAGTTAAGTTACTTAGATTTAGTTATTTGTATTTTCCAGAAATAAAGCTGTTAAGTTCAGTCCTACATTTGGGTCCTAACCTGCCTGCCACACACAGCGTCATGACACAGATATGCTTTTACTGCATTGACAGTGTGTCTGGGATCATTAGCATGCTGAAAAATGAAGCTGTTGCCAATCAGATAATGATTTTTTTTTCCTATTAATTAAGTTCATAGCTCACAGATACACCTGCTGTAGATACTTATCTGGTTTCCTCAGATTTTTTAAGTGCATAGTGCACACCATGCCAAAGTTTTCAGCTAATGGCATTATGGGAATCACTTTGCTGGTGTAAAATGACTGTTTTATGCCTTTCAAACTGTGTTATGTGTGTTATGTGTTATTCAGCTAAAGAAAGTGGAACAAATGATGTGTCTAGAAATGCAAACTAAAATTGGTTCTTTGCTGATGGGATGACAGTGAGATGGCTCGAAACTTTTGCACAGTATAGAGAGAGCGGAGAGTGTGAGTGACTCAGGCAGACTGCTGAAAATTGAATTCACACATGTTCATATTTTTAGATAAATGAGTTTATTAAATGAGTAATTTATTTTATGTGAAGGATAAATTAATCACATTAAAAGTGGCTTAAAAAGTCTGTATCTGCCTTCACACTTACCTGCCAGTCCTCAAGGGAGCTCGAAATGTTGCCATAGCCATGACGCCACACATCTCCTTGATTCAGGTTGTTTGTAAATATCTTGACCCGCTCTCCCTTCACTGGCTTCATATACACTGTAAGAGAACCTATGGGACACACTCCATTAGTTTAACTTTATGTGTGTGTCTGTGTTTTCCTCTGTGAAGCTGGCCCACCTGGATTCACTCCTCCCATGTGATACCAGAAATTTAGACACTCAGTACGGGTAGTTCCTTGGCGAACAGATGAGGTGAGGACTGCAGTGCTACCTGAGGGAAGGATGCTTGCTCCAGTGTTAACAACCATGTAGAAACCTGGATAGAGACCATACAGCGCATGAACACAATTCTCAATTTCTCAGTCTCCTGCATGTATATTCTAATGTTAAACAGCAGGGGTGTTTCTCACCCTGTTCAGTCTCCAGGGTGTGATCAAATTTGGGCCCATTTGATGTGGATGTGTATCCGCTACGGTGGAGCCACTGATCTTTACTAGAGCTGGTGTACCCACACTGTTGGCCTTCAAAGGAACACATCCTTGGGTTGGTACAGGGACCCTCCAAGAATGCCACATCGTCAATGGCAATGAGTCCATCATAGCCAGAGCGAACGGCTTCAAACATCAGCTGTTGATGAATTGGAAGAGAAGGAAGATGTTATTAACTATTCCTATTAAAAAGCCAAGTTAATTAATGTGTACAGGGGATTTTAAAACAACAAATACTGGACAATGTCATTGACAGAAACTTGATATCTATGTTTCAGATGAAACATAAGCATAAATAAGCAGACAGAAGTAAATTAATAAAAACATGCACAAGCAACAAAAAATACAAACATAAGACAGAAAGCTGGCATAAGTGGGAATAGCATCATGGTAAAAATGATAAAGAAAAATTGTGGGTCGTTATACATATTTAAGATCTTTGGAGGTGAAGAGAGGTTCAGCTGTTAAAAACTTGACCAAAATAATTTCTGCACTTCACTTGTACTCAGTGATGAGTTAAAGGGAGATGTGGTCTTTATTCTTCATAAAAGCAAAAAGCGTCAGTGCTGCATTTTAAACCAGCGGCAGGCAGGATAGGTCTACCTGTGAAGGGCATCTACTCCCTTACAGCTGCAATAATGTTTTGTTTTACCACAAGTGGGCAAAGTTTCTCCAAAAACTCAAACCATTTGTTTAAAATCAGTTTCACTTTGTGTCAGCTGGGATAGGCTACAGTACCCCATGACCCTCAGTTGGATAAGTGCTGAAGAAAAAAGGATGGATTTCCTTGTTTTAGTAATTTCACTGGTGCTGTGTGCAGTCATCACATACATGAAATTTTGAGATCTGGTGCGGTACTGGGCATTGTGCTTCATGCCAAACATTTCCACGAGCTCCACTGTGGGTCCACAGGACCATCTCAAAACCTTTGTTATCTATTAGCTTCACATTCAGAGTACCTGGAAGAAAATTATCAGAGATTTCTAGTTAAAGGTTTGTTTTTCTTTTTTTACTGAAGAAACAATCTTTCATTCTAAATTTACATATTAAATTCTTTTAGTCAAATTATCATCACCTGCATTTGGCCCATAGACTTTGTAGAAGAAGTAAAGGCAGTAATCTTTAGGACCCGGTGACTGTGGAAAGGAAATTAAGCGTCCAAACAAACCGTGCAGGTATGGACTCCTCATGTCCACGACAAGGCTTCTGCCTGAACATCAACAGACAGACAGGTCAGCATCAGACACTGACACAGTATAATACCAATCACATAATGCTTAGCAAAATTAGTATCTTCACTTTCAAACTTGTATTATATTTATGGCAACTATTCAAAAAAAATTACATTAAATTATTACAAAGTACTTTTACTGTGCTTTCCATCATTTATCGACAGGGACTGAAAGGAGTTTATAGCAAAGAAACATCTCTCAGCTTTGTGACAAGAATAACATCCTAAATGTCAGCTGAAAAAATCAATTAACAAGGACCAATCATTACTGACAGCAGTTAAGAGCATTACACCTGCACCAAACCACACTGAGGGTTTTCTAATAGAGAGAGTGAGTCTGTGGAAAGGATTTAAAAGTATGTACATCTGAGATGCTCCCTGATTAAAAGCCTGTATAAAATGCTAGATTAATTTATTTGAAATGAGCTTACCAACACTGATAGTATGGTCCATCCCACTGAGCATTGTCCAGTCAAAGTTGTCGCTGCTGTCCTGATACCATCCACACAGTCCTTCTTCAAAGTTACATGACAATCCTGGGCAAACACACACAAAACTGGTTGGTTTAAGCAAGTACTAGACAATTTACTGGAAAAACTTTAAACTGAGCATCATAAATTATGTAAATTATAAGTAGATATTAAAGTTACCTGTTGGAGACCATGGATAATAGTCAACATGACAGTCACTAAATTGGACATTTTTCACTTTAATCTTGGAGCACTGACAAAGTTTCTTAGCGTGAGCTTCAAAAGCAAGCTGGTGAAGATAAAACAAAGCGGTCTAATGAGTTAAATAATATTTTAACTGTTTCATTGTTTGATTTTGTGTTACAGAAAAACAAATAGCATAGCATTAGCTTAGTCAAGCCACAAAGTGAAACTCAACATCAATTGTGTCAGATCAGCTGATCTCAAATCCATGAGCAGATGGTTCAGCTTATACTTCCTCTGAATGTGCCATTGGCAGATTTCCTATAGAGTGTGTTGCTTAAACCTCCCTAAACTCTTTTCTTTTGACTATAGTTTTCAGACTGAAGTTAAAAATATAATAATATAGCTCATGTCATGTGTACTGTTAGAGCGATGGACGCTCATGTTAAACAAGGTAAATATTTTAAATAATGAGGTCATGTTTAATCTCGGGCTTTGTATGATGACCTCACTGAAAGCTGATATCATCAAAGTGGCACAGAAGCCCCACCCAGCTACTATTCAAATTTTCTGTTTATGAGAGTCAGCCAATGAGAAGAGGAGTTGTATCTCTTTAGTTGAGCAAAATGATAAATACCTGAGCAGCAAGACTAAAGTGAAGCTGACCTGGAATCGATTTTTCCTGAATCCAATGAGTATGTCAGCGTGTTGCCAATCCTCTGCCTCTGGTCCTGTCTTCCCATTAAACTCCCACAATTTAGGCCCCGTGCCCATTGAGCTGTCGATCACTCTGACGGACAGATCACCTGCAGCAGAAAGATGCAACCGGGGTTATTTACAGCGTACCAAGTTTGTGTTCTGGAAAGAATAAAAAGATTTGCAGGGCAACAACTTACCAATATAACTGGGTTTCCCAGTTAGTGCATAATCAAAGCTCATGCTACAATTGGGACCAGTGGGGCCTAGGAGGGGGGTCCGTGTTTGGGCTTCAGTCAGCTGCTGGCCTGGAGCTTTGGCTACATACAGAAACTCCTCTGACAGATGAAAATAGACCCATGGGAATAAATTGTACTATGAAATTAGCACTAAACAAATAAATAAATGAATACCAGAAAGAGCTGTCTGTACCCTGGGCTGTGGAATTTTGATATAGTACCCAACCTTGACCCCCAAGACTGGTGTCAGTCCACCCTGAGCTGCCCTGAGAGTAAGAGAAATCACCTGCAGAAGAGGTTTGTGAAGAAACAGCAGTTAACAGCAGTGATTAAAAATGCAACCATAATCAGCAATAACCTTGTATATTACATGTTCCATGCATGAGACATTACTTGTAACGTTTAGGAGCAACCAAAGCAATAAACACAACCTACTTAATTTATTTTTGAAAATTAGCAATGAAATTGTGTAAAATACAAGTTAATTATTTACCAGCAGACTCTTTTAAGTATATTAACCTTCTTCTTGAAATAAAATAGCTATTATTAATAGAGTTGGGTTAAGTTTAGGAACACCCTGCTGGAATCAGCATCACTTCATTTCATAAAATCAAAAGTCTTATAATCATTTAAAACTTTGCAGACCATTTAAAAAAAGTCAAACCGAATAAGCAGGATGAATACACTCACCACATTTAGCTTCATCCTCTGCTCCTTCACAGTCAATATGAAAATCACACAACTTATCCGGTTCAGCACATGGATTTTTAGGGGGACCAGGGAATGTTTCAACAGAAGCATTATCTATGGAAGAGAAGAACATGAGCAAGAGTCATTCAATGACACAAGATGTTTATACTTATTCCCTGCAGATGTTTTTTCTCAAAGTTAAGACAATTAAGAAGCTTACTGCTTGATAAGCGGCATTCGGGAGACAAAACAATGCTGTCAATCGCGATACCTCCATATGCAAAGTTTCTGATTGCTGCCATAATCAGGATCTATAGGGAGAAAATAATTCAAAAGAGCAGATTAGCTATTTTATATTTCAACTAAAATTCTCATCAGTTACACTATAAAAGAGGTAAAAAAACAAAAAAACAAAGCCCAACAACTAAATCGCTTATTTCCAAGCTGCTGGATTTTTGAATTTTGTGAGTACAAAAATACTAAATTACATTTAGTAGTCACGTAAACTCAAATTAAAAGACATGTTTTCTTTTCTTTTATTCTTCATTTGTCGCATGTAAACTGTTCTTTTCTTTCTATTGAGTATTACATTCAGATCTCAAATGTTTTTTATTTTAAAGTCAGAAACTTGATTTTCGATTATTTATGCGCATGTAGAAGCTGTACGCTAGAGCTGAGAAGCTTTGGTTTAATGCGATCTATAAAATGTTGTTGTTTGCTTTTTAGGCGATGTTATATTCATTTTAAATGTTTACATTTAAATGTTATTTTTTAAATATATTATATTATGATATATTTCTTATATATATTAGTAGAACAATAATGAAAAAAAAAATATATATATGGATTTGTATGCATTAATTACATAGGTACATGGAGACCCAGTATTGCAGGGTCTTTACATTATGATATAAAGCGGCTTTTGGTATATTACATGGAATTGAACTGAACTGAATAATCACCATCATTTCCGTTAAAGTAAATTAAAGTATATGTGAAAAGGTAAAAATATTTTCCCTCATATTTTAATTATTTAAGCTTAAAGTTAAAATTTAACCACTGTTGCCTTCACAACATCAACTTCCCTCTGAACTATTTCATAATGTTCATGTATTAAGAATTTAAAGTTTTCTGTGTGGAAAAGTGTTTGATTAAACGATGACTCCCAGCTATCCTTAATTGGCTCACCAAAACACCAATCTCAGTATTAGCAGTAAACATTACATAGATTACTGTAGTGGCTTGGATGAATCATCTCTTATCAAATCATCGCACCTCCGAGCTACATGAATTTCTGTGGCCAGACTTAACCGATTCTGTAAACTTTACTTACTCACAAAAACCTAATTTTACTGATCTTTACCTTATGTAATAACTTCTTTGCTATTCAGGGTTTGTTTTTTTTAAGATTTGTAGTCGTAACCCATCAATATCCCTATTTTAGAGTTGGAATGGGTGAAGCCCAGCTTCCCTATTACGGTTATTAATTCACCTGTGAGAGGCACTTACCTGGAAAGTGACGTTGGTGACAATCTCCACCTCTGCCTTTACCCAGAGATCACCTAGAGAGCCACCTCTTTCCCACACTGGGTAGATATATTTATCTGCAACCAACACCGTCAAACCCCCCGACCTCGGCCCAAACTGGTGAGTGTACATCACCATCTACAACAGGCAGGTACAGTAAACTCGTGAAATTAGGAATTGAATTCAAATTATTGTTAACAATGTTAATTTAAAGATGAGGGATGAAAAAATGCTTTTCTCTCCAGGAATTTAAGAAAGAAAGAAAGTGTACTTTATTGGTCCCCGTGGGGAAATTCCTCTCTGCATTTAACCCATTCACTCAGTGAAGCAGTGGGCAGCCATTG